TTTCGCTGCCCAGCGTCATAATCGGGCATTACCCCGCAGATAACTCAGCACGAAACATACGTTACACAGGTAGTCCGACTAGGAGATGGCAACAGACGCGTCACTGGTACCGACTGCGGGCCAAGCGCAAGGCGAGTCACGTGGACTCCAGCCTGGAAGGCAAGACGGGCCGACGAAACCAAGTTTGGTCGTCAGTGACTTCATTTCCCGCTGCCAAGTCAACTTCTGTCCACGACCCTTGCGCCACCCTACATCTGGCAGATAAAACAAGGCTCTCCTCGGTAAGCGATGACCGAGCATACGTAGTACCTGCCCAGGCCAACGCAACTTAATCAGTCTTATCTGTCGTTCTAAGGAATTAGCTCGGGTATCGTTGCCTAGCACATCGTTCCCGACACGATAGTGCCATCCGACACCAGCGATGATCAAGGACTTGAAGACGCTTCAGTCTCACTCTCATATAGTAGGACGGTTCTCACTGTGGACTTGTAAACGCGGTCTTTCAAGCGGAGGGAAACCCTTTCTGTCGCTAAAGATGTCACAAATCCAAAAACGCAGTTCTAGCTTTTGCAGTACATAAGCTAACTTCAGTTGCTATGCGCCCATCGTTGCTGATACAGTTGCCAGGGCGAGTGCATTAATCAACTATCTCGATTTCCTTGATATCTAGAGTCAAAGGATCGTCAAATGGTTGGTAGTCCTGCAGCAGCACTTTGTAGGTACGAAATGCATACCCACTAATGGGACCACTCTAGATAGGTTATTCAAGGTTGATTGGGCCGCCCAACAGCAAGACGATATCGTTCGCATAATGAAGATCAACTAGCCTTTCACCAGTCAACGCCTCAACACCTACATCGTGTAATTCCGTAAGGGAACACTGCATGATGGAGTGCACGACGAAGTTGAACAGAAATGGGGAAATTGTGCAGCCCTAACGAGCGCCACTTGTTGTCGGAAAACTATCCGACAGCTCACCGTAGACCCTGACGCGGACTGTAGTGTTCGACTATAGAATACGTAGGATGTTCACATATTTCATGGGAACAACTTTCCGCCCATTTCGAACAGAATACATCGATCGACTGAATCGAACGCATTCTTGGAATCAAAGAACACAGCTATTGTCGGCATGCGTGGCGCTGCTCTAACACCTGCCACGGAGCGAATATGTGGTCTATACAACCATGTCCTGGGCGGAAACCTGCCTGTTCTTCCCTTATCTGGGATTCCCGTTCCGCAGTGAGACGACCAACGAGAATTGAGGCAGATACTTTTGTCACTACGGGCGGTAGGCTAATACCCCTGTGGTTAGCACAGTAGCTGCGACTGTCCCTGTATATTACCGCTATAATCGATTCACTCCAGTTAGCCGGAACATGCTCTTCCTTCCAGATATGTTCGGACAGGGAGGTCAGTGCTTTGCAATGGACCTCACGTCCATCCTTAAATAGTGCAGATGGGAGGGAATCTGGACCAGCAGCACGAAAACGATTTAGGACTGTGATCACGTTTCGGACTTCAGCCTACGATGGAGGCTCTAAACTAACCGTCTATGGCTCATCCTTTATCACCTGCGTAGGAAGAAGTCCGGATGCAGGGGGCCGACTGAACTACTTACAAATGCTCTTAAAGGTGTTTTGCCCAACATGCCATACGGCGCTCCTTATTGTGAATCAGAACACCCGCGCTGTCTCTGATTGTCTCACTGATGCCTGATTTACTGGGACCAGTGATGCGGATCATTTGGAAGAGTTTGTGATAGCTCCCTACTGCTCGCGCCTTCTCCATTTCTTGAGCCCGACTGATCCACTAGGCTTCCTTGTCATTGCCCATGCTCCGCTTTAGTTCAGGTCTAATGGTCCACCTGCTCACAATATGTTCATAGCCAGCGAAGAGCTTTCTTCTGGATTCCAGCAGGTTCACCGACCTCGGATATCCAATGACTGGTGCGGTGGCGATTGATAGTACCACAACTAAATGCTTCTTCGTCGTGCATGGCAACCAAGATCCTATTCCACTGAAGCTCAGTGTCATTAGGACAAGGGAGCGAAAGTTCGGTGTGCAATGCATCTTGGTAGGCTTGCTTGATCGAGGGCTGGGCTATTTTTCAGTTGCCAATCAGGAGCGACGCCTAATACGCCTGCCGGTAAAGCTCTTGAAAAAGCTACAGCATACGAAGGCATGATCAGAGTCGATACGAGTACTACAGAACGAGTGCATTTCCAGTATGTAACCACCTCCACCTGTAATTTATAGCAATGTGATCCATTTGGGTCAATCGCTTGCCGGCTACAGGAGGATGTCAAGTGACACTTCGGCGCTCAGTGTATCTGAAAACAATGCTGTTAAGAAACAGCCGGTGCTCCCCACTCATCTGCAACAGACGCTCGCCCGTCGTCCGTACGGTCGGAGTTAATCCAATAATTACCACCTAGCTGAGCTTCTGAAGAACCCAGGCGACCTACTTGTGCATTCATATCCTCTGCAACTATGATATCTGAACTGGTAGCACTGCTTAGTAGCATGTGTTCTTGGTAGCATCAGAACTATGATCTGTGGGAACATTAGCTCATGACGCGAGCGCGTTAAAGATGCCTATTCAAACTTCGTTAATTTATACAAATGATACGGACTGGTCGGTAACGGGTGATAAAAACAGATAAAATATGCTGTATTCGCAACCCATACAATATTTGCTACTAGTAACCAGTAGAGTTATACACAAGTTACCCACTTCTGTTAACCGAGCGATCTGTAACCCCAGCTTTTTTGTAGCCTAATCTAGAAAATGGTATCTCACTCTGCGGTACAATTGTGTACAACTGAGTTAAAAGAAACTTTCAACCCAACCACCTGGCGAATTTTTTGTGAGTTCGTTGCGATAGCTTCCTAATCGGATACTCTTTCGCACGTCCGGAAAAGCACTACTCCGCCGTTTTTATCTTATTGGACTCGTCGGTAGTGCACATCCCTTTCGAATTGTCGAAATGTGGTCATTGTAGCCTCCGCCAGGAAGGAGTGCAGTCGCATTTCACAGGTTGTTTTCACTAGATTCAATGAACCACCGAAGCATGATGCGTGTGTGTAGTTTGGTAGTGATTGAGCTGAGGTTAGTAGTACGATCACTTTCTTACGACGTTTTTGGCCCTCTTTAAAGGCGGGAAGAAGAAGGTATCTGGATGTAGCCGACACGTCGTACTGACACTTCACTACCGCTCGTTTTATTTAGTCATTGGACACTTGAGGTGTGCAACTACCCCTATCTTAGACCTTCGACTGTCGTGCGACATGGGCTCGTACAGTATACGTGACCAACGCTCTTACGATCTACTGAGACTTCTTTCATCCTTGCAAGTAAACATAGTGAGGTTCTGGTATGCTGAATAGTGTTAGCCCCGGCGATCACTTACCGTTGGCCGGAATTCAGCGATCGGTCCACCTGCTTACATAATGGCTTGTGGGCTCGTGGCCTTAAGTATCCCAAGCTTGCCTTGTAGTATGAAGACGCGGGTTTGAGCGTGCTTAGGGGACTAGGCGACATTCGCAGTATCATTAGCCCACATGCGCCTGTTGGCGGTTGCGCGGCAGCGAAGCGTCGGTGCCACGTACCGGTGTGCTGCTGATGTCTTACATCATCTCACGCTGTCCATTGATCAAATCGAATGGGATACTGCTGTCCATCTATCTGCTGCTGCTGCCGCCGCCGCGGTTTTTAATCATTCCGGTGGTTCATATGCTCGTTTTATCAACCATAGGCAGAGTGCATAACGCGCCACTGCGACTGGTGGATTAGCAATACTGATGTAACTCGTTCATAACAAATCTATTGGTTCTAGTATCTGGTGTTTACGATGCTTCGATTCTAACATTCTTTTATTATTGTTTGCCAACTGGTTTATAACATTACACTAGACCTTTAAACACCTTGTGATGTTTATGCCGATCAGTTATCGTGCTTCGCGTCCACCCTCTTCATTTCTCTTAGTGTTTCGTTCACTGTATGACATTTCAAGTTTCCTGAATTATGAATGCCTGAGCCGCCTTAACGTGTTCCACAGAGCCTACTGTGAAGGGTAGGAATGTCTGACTACTTCGGGGAACGAGTCAGCAGTGCTTCACTTTCACTCTCGTTTTCCGCTATCTTTTGCTCATTTCGGCCCGACGCTTTCGGTCATTTCTGGTCCAGCTTGAGCGTAACCGTTCTACTGCCCGACCCATCGCCTTAAAAATCATGAGCCTGCCTTGTATTCCGAGGTCGCGGGTTCGAGCGTGCGTAGGGGACCGGACGACCCTCGCAGTTTCCTTAGGCAACGCTTTACTGGTGGTGGTTGCGCGATAGAGAAGCTTCGGTGTTGTATACCGACATACTGCTGACGCTTACCCCACATAATCCATGTCATGTAAAAGTTTGGGTCTGACGAGATTTTACCGAAAAGATATCTTAACCCTGAACTGTTTTCTGGCCTTGATTCATTTGATTACAATGGGAATATTTGCTGTGTTGAAAAGCAGCATTGCCCGTGATTCCTTGAAGATTTCCTTGTTTCCTAACCACTCTACTAACCGAAAGTACAGTTTACTAAATGCCCTGCATTTCCGCTGTCACAATCCGTGCTTACTGTGCATAATAGAAAACTGAACGATATGTGCATCACGTAGTAATGTCGTTTTGTTATAGCCTTCCGACTCACGTTTCATTACAGAATACTGGGCTCATTTAGGTAATTGGCAGCGCGAGTCTCAACTGACTAGTTCAACAGGGCTTGTGGTATCTTATAGCCACAATCCGTAAGGTTGCCTTCGCATGCCACTTCACATTTTCTGTTTTCCCATATACTGGATGACTTGATTGTACATAACCGGAAAAACCGGCGAAAACGTCCTATCTTTCGTGACGAGGCTTATTACCACTTTTAGTACTTCCCATAGAATTCAGGTCAAAAAAGTCATTTTGTAATTGATATTTCCTCCATACTTTTTGCATTTTTGTCCAACAGCTAACGATCACAGATCCAATCGGCTCAGACCCTTTCGGCTACCGCCGTACACCAAACTTCCGGAGAGGAGTACCGTCAAAAGTGGTGATAGTGGTGTCTCCCTTTCTTCTCTGGCATCGCCCTCCTACTCAGACAGTTATGAAGAACACTTGAAGCAACGAGCTCAGCTAACTCCATCCTGTTTCCCTATCAAACCCCAGTCGGATGTAGCTGGATCAACTGGATACCGAAAACGTACGAGTTTAGTCCCTCTAGTGGATCGCATGATAACGAACCAAAAGAAACGCTTACCTGAATGCTGACTGCTTTTTAAAGATGGGTCTCTGCGTTTCGCGTTTATTTGCATTTTTTGTATTCCTCTACCCTGTATATATTTGGTATACCTTGGAAAAAATAACAAATAAATTGCTCCCTTTTCACAGTTTCTACTTTCGTTTTTCCAAATCAGACATAAGCTCCCTGAATATTACTATGAACATCTCTGATTATTAGTATGTGATACCATAATTTAATTCCGTTTGACGACGAGCTACCCACATGGGTGCGGTTTAGCATCCGCATCTTGTGTACGCATCCCCAACCGCCTAGGAATGTTACACCCCCTTGTCTGTAGCATCTATCAGTGGCTTCACTCCCTTATCTTCCGGTTCGCGCAACTCGTTTAGCCATCCCTGTTCCGACTCTATTGGTTCCATCGGAAATACCTACTTCCTTTCCACTTAGCACCTTCTTTGTCAATGGGAGATAACGCTACCTTGAGAAACAGCTGTCACACACGGTTGCAAATTTTGAGCTTCTTTTTGTCTATTCGAGCGTTGCATCCACCCTTAAACTCTCCTTGAGTCCTATACTGTCCATCCGCTCCGACTTTTTTGATCCGCTGGATCTAACCAACTTCTCACGTGAACAATATCACTCATTGAGTTTTTTGCTCTACTTAGAGTCTAGCCTCACCTGAGTAATCCCATTTTAATGCACAAACCGAAGCTCATATGCAGCTCGTAACCTTACGTAGCACTGGACAGATTCGACTCTTACGGTACCCAGCCTTTGCCGAAGCCGATTCGATATCAGTTTTGACACCTGCGAACGCGTATTGGCCTCGTGGTTTTTAGAAGCGACCCTTCACTAATTGTTTTTCGTACTCCCTCGAATTGTCTTCCAAGATATAACGCACAATTGCTATGGTATTTTGCTTCATTTAGGTTGTTTTCTTTATTTTTAGTCCAGTGCTTTGTTCAATATTTGCACTCTGAATCAACTCAGCCAGCAAGCAACGCTAACTCTTGTTTTTCACTCTCTTGGAATTGACATATGCTGTTTCCCCGTTTCACACATACATGACAGCAGTGTCGTAATGAACCCTGGACTGACTGGTTCGCGTCTCTGACGATACTGAATCAGGATGTTTATGGAGTTAGTGCTGCTTTCAGTAAGAGTACTGGGGGTGATCTGCTCGACCAGAGACCGGTGGACAGCCACATGTATGTGGTTCGACTTCGAGCCTCTATTGGGGTTAGTGACTACCTTCCGAAGATAAGTTTTGGTTTTTACGCACACGGAATTTGGCTCAAAGAATAGCAAAGACCAATTTTATCATCAGTTATCATCTATTATGCGTGTGGTGGAGGATACTAATATCGTGGTCGTTGTTAATGACATAAATGGGCAACACCTGTGTCGATGCACGCCGAGCAGATAATGGCGGTCGATTTTTGCAACTGTTTACTACTCATCATTTTCATATTAGAAGCACTACTTTCTGACAAAGGTTCACATCGGGGCACTTGGCACCCACGGAAATTCTCGATGTCATTGACTATATTGCGTGAAAGTAGTAGAAGGATTTTTGGGTTTTTGTGTAGCTTCGTCGCAGTTAGACTCGGGCAGACAACCATCACACATCAAGGAAAGCGCTAGACGGCCGTTTCCTCCTATTGGGATTCGTTAGTAGCGTGCAATCACCGGATTCGAGCCCACGACCTTACTCTTGCGATTCAACGACTTATATCACTGGGCCATGGGCGACGGCAGCGGACCACAATGACGGATATCTAACATCGATATAGCGCGCCTCATTATCCACTGTCTTGCATGTTACGAACGTGCAGAGGACAGGGCTAGCCCCAGAGCAACGACTTCCTTTGCAAGCCGCCACCAATCAAGTAGCATGTATGCTGCTAAGGCCGCACTATATCGCAGTTAGATATCAGTCATGGCGGTCCGCTACCATCGCCCATGGCTCATTGACATAAGTCGTTGACTTGTAAGAGTAAACTTGTGGGTTCGAATCCGGCAAGATTCGGCGAATGCGTGCTCCTGACGAGTCCCAATAGGATGAAGCGTCCGTCTGTGCTTTCCTGGGTGTGTGGTGGCTGTCTGCCTGAATCTAACTGCGGCGAATCTACACCAAAAGACTATATTGCCACCAGCTACATTTGGCGCACATCGCTACCAGAGTCGTCAGTTTGGTGTACGCGCCTGGGCTCCGACCATACCTAGTATACTCATTCATGGTGCTCACTTTCCTTGCTTCAACGCAGTACCCAATTTCTAGGCCTCTCACTTTCAGTCTGGACTCAGTCTATGTTTTAGCTTCACCACGTCGAACTGGTCCATAAGTTGTCACTAAGATTGGTGAACCGAATGCCAACTGGAATCGTCTCAACTATATCTTGCATAATGCCTTGGGCACTTGCTGTACGCCCAACTGATTACTGGGGCATCTAACAGCTTTCCCGAGACACGCAGACAAATCCCATTGGGTACTGAGTTTCAGCGTGTCCCTAACGGCCTGCAAAAGCGGCTGACAAGTAGCCTGAAAATAGATCGGGAACGCTGCTGGGTAAATGTAGTCATTGCTTGTGAAAATCAAAGCAAGAGCTTTTCTTTATGATTCCAAACAACGAAATCAACAGACGTATTTTTTGTATTACACCGTTTGTGTATTCTCATCCATCACAAAATTGCATCTATGATAAATGAACAAAAGTGGTGTCACACAGGATTGTTAGATGGCCAAGGTAGGTTTAGAGTCACAATTTCTGGCTGCACAGGGTGTTCGTGATCGATAACCATAGGTTCCAGTAGCTAGAGGATGTGGGACCGCTGATCGCGCCTTAGGACTGCAAACGATGCATCAGGTTTGATTTGCGAGCTGGTAGCCGGCAGGTTTAGCACCAACCAACTCACTCTTGGCTACTGAAAAGTTGTCCTGCCTGTACGCTATCACACGTCTTGTCAATTGCCCTATACTAGCTGAAGCTTTTTCACCTCCAGCTCTTGTGTAAAATGGTAATGTTGGTTGTCATTAAATTGTCCGGGCTCAAACATCGTCAGGCTTCAGACCCACGAAGTATAATGCTGACCACCGAGGCATGGCTCAGTCCTGAAATTATTGACGTTTTGACCACTTTACCCGTTATGTCGCTCGTCCGAAACGACAGCAAAGGATGGATCAATTAATACAAAACAAACCGATATGAAATCATGAACGATCATCAAACGCTTGTCATTTATTCCATTTATTGCAGGCTAGGGCTGAAGGACCATTATGTCTACTGTCCGTAGTTTATGATCTCTTCGAATCCACTCTGAAATTGGATCACCCATTAATATCGGCTTTGCGTTTTGTAGTGAATTGCAAATGCGGCCATATCTTCTTACAAGTGATATCAATAACCACGATTTGCAAACTCCAGCCACAGATAGTAGGCTGTTCAAGGCCTATCTGCAAGTCAATCTCTAGTACACCTTTATACGGTCACGTCAATTCTCACCAAGTTCAGAATTGTAACTAAGCCGCTAATGCCAGACCAAGTGCTCACCAGCGAGCGGCTCATGGTTTCCGGGGTAGATGCACGCATGCGGCCCTTCGGGTCGTAGGGATCACCTGGCTCTACTGTCTGGTTAAATTGCTTCGCCAATTATCCATTGAATAGCCCAAAAGGACGCATTCTATTACGCACTACGACACACTGTCCGCACTTGTCAAACAAACGGTGTGAACATTCATGGCTAAGCGCACCCCTGAGATAGTCTTGGGAACATTTTCAAAAGGTTTTACCTCAATAGTCACAAAGGCATCAACGTCTAACCTTTTCCACCTCTCCCTTGAACCAAATTCCTTTCTGAGAAGCGGAACAAGGAAATACACGGTCCGTTGCAACTTAACATAGCAAGTTAATAGAGACTGTCCTAGCTCAGAAAATTGGACCGCATATGCACCTCATTGCAGATACCGTGTGCAATGGTTTTGGCAAGATAAGTTGACACACCAACAGGAACTGGCGAAGTATTTTTGCACGAAATACACACTTCCTTAGACACCCAAATAGCCTTCGTAAAGTATTGCACCGAATCCCGACACTCACTACGGTTGATGAATATACGAATATTTTGAGCGAGGCAGCCAACGCCATTACTTACCTACTTTCCAGAGTATGCCAGGCTCTAACGCTTTTCTTATTTTTTATGCTCCACTATCGGGTTTATTCAACGCCACTTTCACTGCAGAGGTGGCATTAACATGCTACTATTCCTGCGCACACAGCTCTCCGGAAGCGGATAACATTCGTCCGAAAGCACTGCAACTAGCAGCCTTGCGCCTAGCCGAACTACTCGCCGGAGTCCCTCAACATTATTTAGACGAGAATATAGTTCCATCCAAGTGGAAACGGGATATTATCACACCTAATAACAAGGGAGGAAACCAGTCTGAGATCGCTTATTACTGCTGAGTAACGTTTCTATTCGCCAAGGTCATCGTAGGCGCACTGATGGGTTACCTGAAAATCTACCGTATCATTGCGCCTGAGCCGCACCGGTTTTCGTCAATATCGGTCGTTTACTGCGAACTTGTTAATTGCATTAGACAACTGAGTTGAAGCAGTTGACAAGGAAACAGGAACCGATATCATCTACTTTGACTTTCCAAAAGCGTTTGATTACTTGGACCATCGTATACTGCTTTACGAGCTTTAGAACTATGATACTTGTGATCCGTTATTGAGACGGATCCGTAACTTTCTCGCGAATGGCAGAATGCGAACATCTTGTTTTTCCTACCCAATCCTAGTCGAGTGCGGTGCCTGAAAATTACTGTATTTGGGCCTTATCTCTCTCAAGTTTTTATTAAAAGTATAGCAAGAGTTATCACCTCATAGTTTTTACTCTCCACGTGATATGTTGAGCTTTGGCGAGTGATCAAGGGACTAGACGATCACCAGGTCCTTCGGCGCGACCTTGACAGAGTCTGGAATTGGTTGCTGAGGAACGCCCTGCCGTTCAATATGGACAAATG